GGCGCCTGTCACTTCGCCGCGCCCGCGTCAGAGGTCCTCAGCGGCAGGCAGGGGTTGTCGGGGTTGAGCCGCCTGTCTCACCCCTCATCTATATGCCTGTCTCTTATACACATCTAGATGTGTATAAGAGACAGGGGATGCACTGGCGGAGCGAATGGGTACGCAGTGAAGACGACCAGTCGTCAGGAGTGGGCGGCATGCAGAGAGAGAGAGAGAGAGAGAGAGAGAGAGAGAGAGAGAGAGAGAGAGAGAGAGAGAGAGAGAGTGTTAATCGACCGCTACCTGTGTCGGTGGGCGTTGGCGTGCATGCGGCGGCTTGTCTGGCGCACTTTAGTTTCGTGTACTTTCGCATTGCGCCGCACTTAGGAGGTTTTCGCCGGGTGGGGTTTATGGCGATGGCACAGTCCATCGCGTCGGCGGCGGGGGTTTCGTGATGCGCGTGTGGTTGTAGGTCTTTGTGACGATTTGTAGTGTGGTGCCACCGTGAGTGACGGGTGTGAGTGACGGAGTCCATTTCCAGGGGTGTGTGTTCTTTTTTAGGCTGGTCGGGATCGAAGTTGCCTTCAAGGCCTGTTACATCGTAGCTGTGACGTGTTGTGCTGTTGCCGGGAGTGACAGCATTAAGACAACATATCTTGTAATTTTTTTTTTTAAGTCCTGGAGGTTGTTCTCCGTGTTCGTGACGAATGACAAGTACTTTGTTAAAGAGAGAGACGTTGCGTGTGTGTCATTTTTATTGCCTTCATCTGTGCTCGCATTTGGAATGGGTTGTGTGAAAATCCATCAATCTGTGATAAAGCATGTGTTGAATCATACATCTGTCACCACTTTCCATGTCGGTGTTTCCCTGACAATCGTGATTGCAAATGAAAAGGGAACGCAAAGGAGTTGACATGAAGCTGTAGACATCATCAATAACGAAAGACACAAGAAACAACAATATCGTCCAGACATCATGAAAAACAACGAACACAAAAAGCGACAACGACGTGTGGACGTCATCAATACCAATGACAGGTGTCACATGTTCGTTGTTACAGACGCGAACATCGATTTGTGAAGACCCAAAAAAAATTTAAAAAAAAAAAAAAAAAAAGTAAACCATGACAAAAACATACGATAATTACACACCCCCACGGTGACCTGTCCGCCACGGCGATCAACCACAAACGTACGTCGTCTACCAATCAACGACATCCAATCCCCCCCCCCCCTCTACCGTCTTTCCCTTCTTTACCATCTTCGCCACCGAAAGCTCCTCGGCGACAACCTCCCTTCACGCCACACCCACCACCATCCCGCTTGTTCGTGAGCGCACGGCTGCGGCTACGAAATTGGACTGCCACCCATGATGTATGTACAGAAAGGGGATGATGGTGGGTCTGCCGTCGAAAAACAAGCTACGGCAGAGCAGCATCACGCGAGGAAAAACTACATAAACGACTAAAAGGCGTCATCGACCCCCCCCGCTTCCCTGTTCGTCGCCTTTCCCGTCGTCTTCGTCTTCCGGGGGGCCTGTGCCCAGCCAATCCACCTTCTTCGCCTCCATCGGGGAAGACAGCGTGGCGTCGTGTGAGAACTTGACACCGATGGATGCCCAGTCGGGAACATACATTGGAGGGTCGATCAAAGTGATGGGGGGACTCGCCAACTTGTCGGTGATGACGGTCGCAGCTTGGACGATGTGCCGACGCGCGTTGAAGCAGCGATGCATGGATGCGACGAGCGTCGGCTTCGCCGTGAGTTGGACGAAGACCCAGGCGTCGTAATGCGCGCGATGATCGTCACCCGCCATCCGCATGAGCCACATGGTTGCCGCGAGCATCATCCGCATCGCGTCGGCCATGGTCTTCAACCTTTCGTGCAATACACGGCCACCGTCCGTCGTCTTCGCAATGATCACGGCGCTTGTGAAAGCCCCCACTAGTCGCCTCCTGATAAGCCGCCAAGCCGTCGTCCTCGTGCCTGTCTTCGATGTCGGCGCCCACGAACCACAATTGCAGCTTCATATCCATGTCGAGCGTGTGGTGGACGACCATCGGGCTCACATAATAACGCCAGTCCTCCCCCATCCACATCGCGCGAGGGATGTCGGTGGCCGCGTGGTTGAGTGCGTACTGGTACGCCGCGTGGTACCGCCTTTGCTTGTTTTGAGACTTGAAGACCCACCCGTGTATCACCCGCAAAGCGATCCCCTGAACCTTCACCGCCCTCTCTTCGCAGCGTTTAACTCCGACTCGTCCACGATCTTGTGCTGCGGGATGCTGTTGTGAGGCAAGACGATGCTGCGACGAATGGGCGGAGGCTGCTCTCCCCGCGCCACAGCCACAAGATAACCGCGCGCCTCCACGATCAACTTGACGATGGCAAATCCCTCCCTTTCGTTTCAAAAGCGGAGGTCATCCACCCACAGCTTCGCCGCCGCCTCCATTCCCTCTTGCGTATTCCGCTGGCGCAGCCTGTTCACCAATGCCTCGTCGTCGTCCCCCTCCCCCGCAACATCGCCTGCCTTCACCCCTGCCGTCGCCCCTTCCCCC